CCCCCCTTTTCCCCCCCCCCCCCCCTCTCTCCCTCTCTCTTTCTCCCTCTCTCTCCCTTCTTCTCTTCTCCGATCACTGAGAGCAATGAAGGAGCGAAGCAAAGAAGCAAGCCACCCTCCGAAATTCTATCACCTCTTTCTTCCATTTCGAGGTCCGCGGTAATCGCCATGGCTGGGGGCAGCCCGGGGTACCAAGCAGAGGGATGGCCGAGAGAGGGGACTGGACAGTGGTGCGGCGTCTCACTCCAACGTCTATTTTCATCTCACTCGTCGGCGTCGCGGCCACCCCTTGTTGCACCGCGTTCTCGGTATCATCGTCCGCCTAAAAAGGTAGATTGGCCGTGGAAGTAACGCGATATGCGATTCGTCAGTCCGTCGGACCAATCGACCAGAGCGTTACATTCTAGGATCACGTTGCACGCGCTTATATTGGGAGCCCCCGCTCGTTTCCCCGACAGAACGGCTCTCTAACGTAAGTGCACCACGTCGCGTCGCGTCGCGACGCCGCCGGCTTCTATTTTTTTTTTCTTGTTTTCCCCTCTTTTCTTTCCTCTCGATCGAAAGAAGCGAAAACACGGCGAGGAGAAAGGAAGTGATTCTTTTCGTATATATGGGATTTATTCAATAAACGGGGTGTAATCGATCTGAGCATCATCCACCGGAGAGATTGCACACTTATCCGCCACGCTCACAGAGAATCAACGGTCAACACGCAACAAATCCACATATACACGTGTGTACACGGTATCGATAAGGATGAACGAGCGGAGTTAAGGGTGAGGCTATTAGGACCGCAAGAAACTCGTGAGAGGACCGAGTTTGGATGGTCGTGCTTCTACTTTGCTCCGAGAAGATCGCGTGTGTGTCTGTGCTTGAGAGATCGGGGGAAAAAGTCACCGGGTGGGCGGGAAGTGGTACCGACTGGCGAACGGGCCTTGGTGACCTTCCGAAGGAGTGACCTTCGAATTTTATCGAACTCTTGGTGAAGTACTCGAGTGAGAACCCGACGAGGTGCGACTGAAAGGATTGTGTCAGGAATCTCTTTTGAGAGAAGCTTTTTACCTGTGTGTGCTTTACGAGCCCCCGAACGGTGTATGGACATAGTGTGTTGCGTCTTTTCATTTCTTCCTCTTGTCCTTGTTCATCTCTTTTCCTCTGCTCCGATCCTATCAGATTGGAAGAAAGAGCGAGTTTAAGTTTTCGGTGTTGATCAGGATTTTTTTTGAAACCAGCGAGGTGCAAACATCAGGAATACTATATTGTGTAACGCCACCAAGTTCGATAGGATGTCTTCCAACGTTCGATTTGGATTTAATTTAAATGAGTTAAAACTTAGTTGTGTGTTTGCTCTGTTTTTTTTAATTTTGTCTATCTTTTTTGTAATTTATCATTTGTAATATTATGTAAACATTTAAATAATTGTTCAATAACAGTTAATTAAATTGATACAAATGTCGGCTACAAAACATTTAAATAATTTTTCAATAACAGTTAATTAAATTGATACAAATATCGGCTACAAAATCGGTTAAGAATTAGTTTCTTTTTAATTATAATACAAAAATAAAAAAGTAAAAGCTTCATTTTATTTTTAAATAATTTGATTCAAAAGTAAGACAAGATTGTAAAATTCTCATTTTAATTTATGATTGTAAGAAATTTGTTGTATTTTTTAAAATTTATAAATTTATAAAATTAATAATTTTTAAATAATTGTTATATAAGTTACCTTTGTCAAAAATTTAATCAACGAATCAGAATAAAAAAGAATGAATTTAATTGTTTAATCGTAAAAAAGATTAACGGGATCAATTTTCATTACACGAATTATTCTTATAAAAATTTGTTTCTAATTAAAAATTGAAAATTTCTTCAGTAAATTTTTTATCTATTAGATTCCAATGAAATCTTTATTTATCGGATAAAAAAATTGATAATTTTGAATTTAAAGTTTAAAGTTTTAATGCTTTCCCTCTCTCTTTTTTATTCTTCCCTCGTTTTTATTCTTTACTTAGATTTGTTGTTTTCTACTTTATCAGTATTGTGCTCTATTATGATTTATATTTCTACGTTTCATTTCGTTTATTGTTTAAAGTCCGCATGTTCTCCTAATATTCGTCAAATCCTAACATACTTACGCGAGAATGTCTTCCACATGCCTTTCGCATGTTTCTTGTATTTCGTATACACTTGTTCGAAGAAACAAAAATATCGAACTTCTTGTAACGCGATACATCGCTCTTTTTGGTTCGGTCGCCAGTGCTGCTTCGTGCCTGCTCCATTTTGTATTCTTATCTGATTATGCAACCTCATCGCACTCTCTCGACTCTTCTTCGTGACTCTTCTACTGTGATGCACGCATAATCGTCGTGTCGAGTAGTAGTATCAGTGATACATAGCGACATCGTAAGCGAGTTGCTTCGAGGTGAAGCATGTTCGATAAAATAGATTTTTACTACGTTCGCGACGTTTTTCTAGAAATGTTTTAGTGAAATCAAGAAAAAAAAGAGAAAAGCCGGCGGTTGTCTACGACGAATCTAAAAATTATTAAATTCTATTTTACGAAACTACGAGACTTATATGATATCAGTTGATGGCGAAGAAATGAATTTTAAAAGTGTTCGCTTTAGCTTTTGATAGATTTTTTTTATTGATGGGTATCTTTGAATTCTTACATTCGGCTGTTACAATAACAATCTTAAACAATTGATCGTTAAAATAGTTATTTTTAACATTATGAATTAATTAATATTTAATAAAATATAAAAGAAATGTGTGCAAGTGTTATTAGATAAAATATATCAGGTCTTTGTTAACATTAATCTATGGATAACTTCGGTTGTTTAATTTATAACTTCTTTTTTGATAAATGTATTGTTTTAAATTATAAAAGTTCGAAAGACTTTTATGAGAGTTACAAGTTAAGACAAAGAAAGAAATAAGTTTGGAAAATATGAATAGACTTGTTATACTTATTTTGTAATATATTATTATTGGTTAATATTTTTCTTTATAATTTCAAATAAACATTATTTAAATAGATCATTTTTAATTCAAAGATTATAAAGATATATCTAAAATTGTAAACTCGCGATATATAAATATTTCTTTAATAATTTAATCTCAGAATAATAAATTCTCTATACTTATATATTATATATATTATATACTATATATTGAATATATATCTGTATATAATCCATCGAAGATTTATCAGAAATATTTATAAAATATTTTTATTATATTTAATAATTACTTTAATTTAACTGAGAATAAGATTAACATATTTTAATCTTAATTAACTGAAGTAATAATTAACTGTAACTTTTTCAAAGAAAAAGTAATCCTTCAAAGAAAAATCGTTCTAAAAAACTCAAAAGAGATTAAAAAAAAAATTACCAAAAAATATGTCAGACATTTTCTCGCATCAATCTGATATAACTGGCCGTAGTTTCGTGAAGTGGATCCCGGACAGCCGGGTGCGTCAAGATATTCTAACCGATCGTTCTCCAGGGCCGCTCAGAACGTGCCGCCAGAAGTAGTCCGTCCGCCGCCGAACCAACAACAAGCCCCGAAGGCAAACGACAGAAAGAAGAGGAAAGAAGAGTCCTCCCCTCCTATCGAAGAAGAAGAAGCAAGACTTCAGGAGGAAACCCGTGAGTGCCACGGCATCAGTTTATCGCCGGTAGAGCCCAGAAGAAGAACCGAAGATGCCAGCCCCAAAGGCCCAGGAGGGAGAGGATCCCGATCCGACTCCATACCTCTTCGTCTCCCTCGAGCAGAAGAGGATCGATCAGACGAAACCTTACGACGCGAAGAAGGCATGCTGGGTGCCCGACGAAAAGGAGGGCTATCTCCTCGGTGAGATCAAAGCCACCAAGGGCGACGTCGTCAGCGTTGGCTTGCCTGGCGGCGAGGTGTGTAGTGTGCTGTGCATAAATGCATCCCTGTGACCCATTCTTCGATCCTCATTACTTTAAAGAGTCATCAGATTATTCGGAAAATAACCAAGCGATCTCGGTGGGGCTCGGTGTTTGAATAATTTTATTTTGCTTCTTTGCAATAGCGAAAATTTAAATTCTTGAGATTAACGATGTGCGATGTGAAGGTATAATATTTCAAATCAAATTCAAACAATACGTAATAATTATTTTAATTCAAAGAAAATTAAAATTGAAGAGATCGGTTATTATTCGAGTAATCTATCGCTTGAGATACATAAAATGTGATCTCTTACATGGTTTTATTTCTTATCCCCATTTACCAATGTAGATTAACTTTAGTTTCGGTTTACTTTACTTTTAATCCTTTTCTAATTCTTAGAAAACTAAAAGATAAAAAGTTAAATCAAGATAAAAGTTAATGTACATTGGTAGGGCCTTAGATATTGAGTCTAAAATCTCAGTAAAAGATACCGAGATTTGTTTGGTGAGAAGTTTAGCGAAAGCGATTTAATAACTTGTTCGAAATTTTCGGATGTGATTATATTTAATGTTTTGAAATCGTGGATTAATTATGTCGGCATTTTAAATTCAAAAGAAAATATCAATATTTAACAATTTAAATATTTTACGAATAATAAAGGCATTAATTAATTAATTTAATTAACTAAAATATCCTGATTAAAAAATTTTTATGAAACAATTAATTATTTAATTAAAAAACATAATAATCATAACGTTGATCGCCGTCTTTTTCTATATAAACACACTTAGATATTTTATATTACGTTTGTTAAATTTCTAGAAGCAAATTTTGTGAGACATTTTTACAATTTTTCCTACATTTTTTAACAGTTATTGATTAGTAAATAGTACATCAAGTGATCATAATTTAATAATATAATAATCTCGCAATTAATCGTGTCGCATCAGGCCGTCCATACGTCTTCCTTTTCTACTGTTTGATACCGCTTTTTATACTGTACAAAATTCTTTGGTCGAGAAATTCGTTCCTGAACACTACGTGCGATCTTACATCGCTACTTAAGCATTAAAAAAATTTTTGTATTTTTACACAAATTTTATAACATGACAAATGTTTAAAAAAGGCGAAAGCTAGACTAAAATATATATAAATTCAATTTAGTAAATAGAGACGAAGTCAATCTATGTCAATCTGTGTCGTCTTAAAAAAACATACAAAAGCATTTATTACTCCATGAAATTGTTCGTCAGATATTTCATTCTATTATCGTCTCTCTCTCTCTCTCTCTTTCTTACTCTCTCGAACTAAACCTAAAAAAAATGACGTAACATTTTTCGCGAAAAATCATTCACGTAAAATTCGCGTATGTTCAAAGAAGAAGGCGTCGACGCGTTCCAATTCCGCCGGATAAATCCGTTTGCTCGTATGATTTTTGGGGTTTGAAGGGGACGTCTGCGGCGGAAGGGGACGTCTGTTTACAGCACGGCGATTTTCATCGATCGCCATGGAAGGATCGAGGCATGATCTCTTCTGGCTGGGCGATTTTTTAGCCGGCTCGACCGACCGAGGGAGACAGAAGGAGAGAAAGAGAAAGACAGAGAGAGAAAAGAGAGAGAGAGGGGGGGGATTCGCTGGCTTCTATATATATAAAAAGAAGGGAGAGGAACGGGATCTCGCTGACGATCTATTTTCGGAGAACAGAAAACCGACCGCGAATCGCCGCTGCCGCCGTCGTCGTCGTCGACGTAGAGTACTTACGACCTTCTGTCACCCGGCCGAAGGTGTAGACTTTCTTTTCAAACGGAAATAAAATCTCAAGCTTGAAGCCTGTCAAAAAGTGTATTACGTAAAGAGCGGCTTTCCATCACCGTTCTGCTGGCGAAATTATACAACGACGACCAATTAGAAACTTACAGATTAGAGTCTTACAATTAGAAACAACCCATTTTCCTCTTCTTCTCGCTTACCGTAGTGAGAATTTTTAGTCGAGACAATTTTTTTCGCAGAACGTAATCATATATTTTTGTTTTATCGCAAAAGGTCTAGCTCTTTGAAATCTATAATTTTGACATTAATCAAATCGTTAGGATCGAATTTCGCTTACAAAAACATACAATGGCAAAATAATGTACATACAGGGAGTTTAAGAAAAAAATAAAAATGCAGAAGAGTAGATAAATATATATTAATAAAATTAGCAAATGACTGATAAAATTCATGAAGAAATAAATATCTATAAATTTTTATTTGGAAAGTCCCAATTCCTTGAAATCTTGCGTAATTATATTTATTTAATTTTACAATCTCTATCGTAATTTTTCTTCTGTCGATACGTAATTCGAGAAATAAAAATTTTAACAGTAAGTGAAAGGAAGACACGTATGATTGATACTTATTAAATTGCTAAAGGATTTCTCACCAAATTCAAATCACATTGATATGCTGTTCTACAGACATTACATGGCAAATTAAGTAATTTCCAGCAATTAGGCTTTCAGAATTTTTTTTGCACTGAGTGTTACAAAATCGGAAATTTTTTAAAATTGGGAAATTATTTATATTAAACACAAATTAATCTGCGATGTTGTTTAAAAAAAAATTACAAGTATAAAATGAATGCCAGATTCTTATACTTCATTCTTTTCTCTCTCCTTTTCTCTTTCTATGTAATCTGATGTATGATATTGTAATATTGCTTTTTAAAAGGGCTACATTTTCAAAGTAATATAAAATGATATAATTTTATTATCTATAGCTTAATATCTTCTATATTCACTTTTTCTCTCTCTTTCGCATAATTGCATTTCATATTTCAAAAAATAAATAGTCATCACTGTATATTACTATTACGTTATAACGTTCCACAGATCATTCACGTGTGAATCATTTTATTCGTAATTATGATCAATGTTGATCGTGCTTGTTTTCCACGACTTCGACGAAGGTGCCGCTCTGCTATTCTTGTCCGAATTCCGCAAACTTGCGAACAAACGACCCCAATATCCGTGTCTCCGCGTAATACATGTCGATTACATAATGGTTCAGCAAACCCATGTCGCCGTGCGCGTTGCTTCGTTACGGCTGTAAGCCCAAACGCTATTGTTAGAATCGCTGTCGCTAGCGCCTGGCGTAATAATAAGTCGAAACGCCACTTCTCGAAACGCGGGTCAACGTATTTTTAGAGCAGCAACCAAGCACGAAGCCCGAGAAAAACGCACGAGAGAGAGAAAGAGAGAGAGAAGTGAAGAGATAGAGGTGTCATTGGTCGTTGCCAAAAAACCTCTTTATGCAATGCAATTATCAGGGAAAAAATGCCGTTTTTGAAACCTTTAATTTAATTCCCAAACACAATTTCCTAAATACAAATTAACCATTTTTGTATCTTATTTTCTTATCTATTCTTTTTCTAATTTCACGAAAATTAACTCAGCGGGAACTAGACGAGGTGTATCATCATGTTTTCATTGATCCATATTCAAAATATCTATGATAATAATACAGCTGATAGATGATTACTTTATTATGTATGTTTTTAATTTTCTCGTGGAGTACATCATAATTTGATAACAAGTCAACTGAATTGCAATCACAAACTTACTAAAAGCTATTAATTTCTTTATCTTTTTAACAAAGAGCCACTTTGAATATTTTTCTTTACTTCTTAACTTTCTTTTGAGATTATTAAATATTATAATTACTATCGTTATTTATAATTCTAATAATTTTAACAGTTCATTAAATTATAAATTAAATATTATATAAATTGATAATTAAGTTATTAAATTCTGTATACGTAGAACAAAATAATGTAAAAAACGATTGAAAAATTGTTCTATTTTATTAATATATTGGACAGGTTTTATTTTCTTTTTAATGTTTATAATTTTTCATTAATTAAATTTTCTTCCATTCTTCTTTATTTTCGCAAATGTAGAAGACTGAGAGATATTTTGGTTTTTTTAAATTTAAGATAAAATATGCCTTTCCAATAAAAATAATAATCGTACAAATTCCGACGTGTTTTCCATCTCTTGCTTTTAATCTGAGAGATTGATAAATGAATCGCTCGATTGAAACGTAATAATGACAAAAAAAGAAGGAGAAAAAAAAAGAAAATGCTCGTGCAGACGAAACAGTACCGCAAGGACCAGCTGTCCCAAGTAAACCCGCCGAAATTCGAGAAAGCCGAAGATATGGCCGACCTGACCTATTTGAACGAGGCGTCGGTGTTGCACAATCTGAAGCAGCGTTACTACGCCAAACTGATCTACGTAAGTCAATTGTCGTGATCGTATGTCACTAATGCGCTTTTTCTTTCTCTTTGGGACCGATGATAGACCAAGGACTTCAAGAAGGACCAGCTGCAGCAGGTGAACCCACCCAAGTATGAGAAATGCGAGGACATGTCCAATCTGACTTACCTCAACGATGCTTCGGTCCTCCACAACTTGAAGCAACGTTACTACGCCAAGCTCATCTATGTAAGACTCTTCGCTCGCAATGGAGAGATGCTCGCACCCTCCCTCCTCTTCATCCGAGGATATGGAGGGTTTTGTCTGGCTTTGTCTGGCCTCGAGTGTCCCTCCTCTATTTGCGAGCCACTGCCGTGACTGTCACGACATCCTTTCAGAATTTCTGTGCTAGTTTCGAAGGATCGGTTCATCGCTCAAAACGCCAGGACGCGTCTCGCGATGTTCCGAAAGGTCCTTCGGCTTTATACTCCGTTCGTCATCCGCGACAAATGGCTCGACAGGATGCACGGATCTTGTGCAGGAGCGTCGTCATAAAGCAGGACGATATGTCATGACGTCTCCTAATCTCTTCATTTTTTATCGATGATCCTTTTCCCATGTAGATGAGAATTTTTCGTTCGTCCAATGTTTTCGCCATAGGAGAAATGCATGATTTTTTTTATTTATTTCTTTTCCTTTTTAACGTCGTCGTCAAAGCACTATGACCTGCTGCGACGTCTCCTGGCTTTTTATCGATTTTTTAATAGTCATTTTGATTTTGGTGTTTTACTCCAGACTTCTGTCTGGAGATGCATGATTTTTTTTCATTTGATTTTTGAGAAAATGACATCGTCGCGCAAAGCACAATGACGTGTCGTGACGTTCTGTGATTTCTTCCATGTTTGCGAAAGTTATTCTTTCCTTTTCGGATTGGTAACTTTCGATCAGTCACTGAGAGAGATCTCCGTGTTGAAAAAATGTCAAACAAGAAATATCTTACGTTTTGCCACTTTTTCATCCTCCACTGGAGAATGCTCGTTACGTCGATTAAATTTCACGATATTCTCTTCATTTTGATTCACACAAGATGTGTAATCGTCTTTTGTTCTGTTATATTTGTTTCTTAAATGTTATATCCGTTGTATTTAACTGAGTGCGCTCTAGGATCCGTGTGCTCACAAAGTGGAGATCCCGAAGGATGCTCTCGTTTTTAGACACGAGTCGCATCTGTTACGATGAGAAGTGGACAATTCCTGCATCGGCATTCAACCTGTTTTTTTGTTTCCATAATCATATTATTTGTATGTTTTGTTAATATTGTCGATATTGTCAGATTATTTCGTCAAATTAACATACCGATTAATATCTATATAATAAATTACACTATACAATTAAATTATATTTGCTAATCTTCTTTGCACTTAAAAGAATTTTATGAGTTTTATAGGTAATATTGATTTTTTTATAACTTGATATATATATATATATTTATAATTATTTCTTGTGAGGATTTGGACAAAAACCATAACCAGACACTATCGACAATATATTTTGCAGATAAATCTCAGCTATTCGAAGTTTGAAGCAAAACTGCATTGAATTATTATGAATAATTTTATTTGCGTACAATGTTATATGATTTAATCGGAGAAAAAAGATTTCTCTCGAATTACAGTATTGAAACTTTGTAAAATCCATAATTTTATTTTATTTATTATAATTTGATTTATTGCTACATAATTAAAGGAATCATGATTAGAAATTCTATAATATTTAATTATCAATTATATATGTATATATTTTATATTGTATCGGTAAATTACGTTGATCATATATGATATATGTATAATCTTCTTTGACGAATTCAGGAGATTCGAATAGCTGAAATTTGTCAACAGTTTTCTTGTGTACTTTGTCTGAATCTATTGACTCTTGTGCGAGCGAGACAGATCGTACGCCGAGAATCGAGAAATTTTCGTTTTGGTGAATAATAAAAACGAGCCATGGAACGTTGCTCGAAGCCTTTATTGATTTAATGATTGTTGATCTCTACTTTTGCAGACCTATTCCGGCCTGTTCTGCGTGGCTATTAATCCCTACAAAAGATTCCCCGTATACACCGGTAGGTGCGCCAAATTATACCGTGGCAAGAGGCGTAGTGAGGTGCCACCTCACATTTTCGCCATTTCTGATGGAGCCTACGTCAACATGCTTACCAGTACGTAAAAAATGATTATGCGAGAAGCAGTATTAACCACACATACAACAATAATGCATTGAGAAAAATCGTTACTTTCGAAAAAATCAAAACATTAAAAATGATTTGCTTAATGACAGTTATACTACGTTAATTTATCTCAACAATCATATAAATTGTTACATAGAACAGTCATATCGAAGATGTTCCTTTTTTTATCTAAAAGGATTTTTATCTAAAAAATTTGTAAGATTGATTTGTAAGAGATTTTTGTCGATTTTCGCGACATTCTGTTAAAAAAAATCTGTGTCTCTTGTCCCTGACAGATAACGAGAACCAGTCTATGTTGATCACCGGTGAGTCTGGTGCCGGAAAGACTGAGAACACGAAGAAAGTAATCGCGTACTTCGCCACCGTCGGTGCCTCGACTAAGAAAGAAAAGGAGTCAGACGCGAGTCAGAAGAAAGGCTCTCTGGAGGACCAAGTCGTCCAGACCAACCCCGTCCTGGAGGCCTTCGGTAACGCCAAGACCGTCCGTAACGATAACTCTTCTCGTTTCGTAAGTGTTTCTATTTTAACGCGCTTGATATACGGAGCGTTCAATAGGATAAAATAGCCATTACTATATCTGGCTGGGATAAACGATTGCGTACAAGGAAGTCCAATAATGATTTGGGAGACTTAAACGAGATTAGAAAACAGCTAGTTGCGATATTATTGGATTCCTTAATTTGAAATATGAATCATTTATACATTATTACAGTTGTATAATTATTGCATAACTGTACAATTGTGTTATAATTGTATAAAAATTATCCAATTACTATTATACTTTATCTTACTATTATTTTAATCTTGTCATATCAGATTTTTATTATATCTATTTCAATTTCGATTATATCTATTTCAATTCCACGGAAAGAACAAATTTTTGCTGAAATATCTAAAAATTTAGCTAAATATAGATTTTAAAATAATTTTGCTAGATCGTTAAAATAATTCCGTAGAAATATCAAGTACGATAAGCAATGCTGCAAAAAGTTTTGCCATTCTAACAACCAGTTCGAACATTCTACATAATTATTTTGATGATGCAACAAAATTATTTTCAGATCTGTAGCTAAATTTTTAGACTAGCAAAAACTTCCTTTTCATTTAAGAAAGTAGGAACGCTCGATTAAAAACAGGGAATGTTGTTTACAACGATAGATCATCGACTGTGGCTGAAAACCTAGTCGAGATCTGATGTTAACGTCAAATGGATTAATTACGCTTCCGTTTCATTTTGAATATAGGGTAAATTCATCCGTATTCACTTCGGTCCATCCGGAAAGCTGGCCGGTGCCGATATTGAGACATGTGAGTATCTTATTTGATATTCTTAAAGCGAAAACGAGATTAGAAAACAGCTTCGTCGGTTCATATCTTATAGAAGAAATCGTCACGTGGCTGTTAATTTTGCGCAGTTAATCACGTCAGGCGTTTAATAGTCACGTCAAGGTGACGGAAGGCGAACGCGTTTATTATCGTCACGACGCAAACGCGCGCCTCGGAGGCGCAGTTGGCGTCGATTCGCGATTTACACCGTCCGCCGTTCTTTGATTGCGTCCGGTTATTTTTGCGACCGCTCCATTTCGTATCGTTTGGCTTAAAATCTGCTCGCGTCATCGTCGTAATTCCCTTGCTCAATCCTTGCGCTATAAACAACAATGTATGGCACGTGTGACGACGTCCTTTTTCACGCTATTTTTTTGCTAAAAAAAAATAATTCCATTTAATCATTAATAAATGCGATCAATTAAAAAATTGGTTCTGTACACAACTAATCTTTTAATTATTATCTATCGTTTAAACCCATTAAACCTATGATTACATCATCAAGCAAAAAACAATTGGAAAAAAACTGGAGCATCAAAAAACATTTCTAATGTAAAAAGTACATTATTAGTCTTATTTTCAATTGTTTTATTTGCTATCCTTGTTGTTCTAATTATGTTGTTCTAATCATTATTAATAGTCTAATTGAAATTAGATGTTTTAATATCTTTACTTGAAATAGAGCGTATATACAGGGTGTCCCAGAATAAATCCTTGTTCTTAAAATGACGTATTTCTGACATAATTCTAAGACAATTTTTCCTTTGCCAAAATTCTAGCGTAGCTTAGTTTCCGAATTATAAACGAAAATAGTGAGCGAATTACGGGTCGCGTACAAAAGCTAGGCAGGGGCGGCGCAACGCACCGTCCAACACGAGTGCTCAGTTCTGATCAGCTGCTTGCTACGTGTAAAACGTGTGACACGATAGGCCTGTTTGTTTTGGCTGAACTTTTGCACCAGTTCATCTTTCTTCCTTTTCTCTCCAGGAGGAAAGAAAGGAAAGAAAGATGAATTGGTGTTAAAGTTCAGCTAAAAAGAACAGGCCTAATGATACGCGCACGTACATGTATTTCATCTCCCCTCCTCCCTCCCCTCTCTCTCTCTCTCTCTCTCCTACCTTGTAAAGATGTCTTCATACCGCAGCCGAGCTGGAAAAAGGCAGGATAATTTCGTGACCGTGAATTCCGAGATTCTCATAAGTCCACACCAAATAATAATAAGTTTTTATTTTTCACATCAATTGTATCACGATCACGTTTACGCGAATTTTTGGTGTCTTTCACATTAATTATATCACTTACAACGTTTCACGCACACTTGATCGATTTACAAATGAATTTATCAATTTGTTATTATTAATCACTACCGATTAATTATTTAGCGACTGATAATTAAATCTAAGAAAGAAATTGCATACAGCAATTAATAATCAGAAGTATTCGTCCTTTTATAAATTTTGTCACGTATCAATACGTTCACGGATTTATTCACGCACTTAATCCTTTGGCCTACAACCACGAGTGAGACTCGTAGTAAGGAGTCTGACTCGTGCTTATTGTTTATGGATCAAATTCCTTACCACGAGTCTCACTCGTGGTTGTAGGCCAAAGGGTTAATTGATTTTTATAAACGTCTTCATACCGTCTACCGCTCAATCTAGTAGCTCACTACTATTGAGCACTGCCGATTGATCATTCTGCAGCTGAGAATTACTACAAAGAAGGAAACATATTGCACGCGGTAATCACAAAATCAAATTCCATCGCAAAACAATACGGCCACTGATTTACACAAACACTTGAACAATAAAATGAGGAATTTATTACGGTTAATTGAACTTTATTATGGTTAATCACAATAAAATAGTACCGATTAATTATTCGACTAGTTGAAATTACTTGAGCGCGTTATACACATTATTGTTACTCGACACGGAAGCGCGATGTAAACAAGTCAATGGATTAGGTTGGTACTGAGTGTGTTGGTTATTAGTAAGGAGAATAATGCTTAGAGGCTCCGCACAATAAAAGGAACAGAGAATAAGAATTTCAACCTATCAGAAATCATGTACTGTGGAATACATGATACTCTGTTCTCTGTTCCCTTTTACTGTGCAGCATTGTGATCGCGACCACGAACGCAAGTAATTTCAACTCGTCGAATAATTAATCGGTACTATTTTATTGTGATTAACCGTAACAAAGTCAGTAAATTTCTCATTTTATCGTTCAAGTGTTTGTGTAAATCAGTGCCCGTATTGTTTTGCGATGGAATTTGATTTTGTGATTACCGCGTACAATGTTTCCTTCTTAGTAGTTCATTCTCAGTTGCCAAATGATTAATCGGCAGTGTAATATTAATAGTAGTGAGTCAATAGATTTGTTGGTAAAAATCAATTAAGTGCGTGGATAAATCCGTGAACGTATTGTTACGCGATACAATTTATAAAAGGACGAAAACTTCTAATTGTTAATTGTTATATGCAATTTCTTTCTTGGATTTAATTCTTAGTCGCTAAATAATTAATTGGTATTGATTAATAATAACGAACTGATAAATTCGTTTGTAAATCGATCAAGTGTGCGTAAAACGTTGTAAGTGATATAATTAATGTGAAAGACAAAAATTCGCGTAAACATGATCGTGATATACTTGATGTGGAAAATAAAAACTTATTATTATTTGGCGTGGACTTATGAGAATCTCGGAATTCATGGTCACGAAATTATCCTACCTTTTTCCAGCTCAGCTGCGGTATGAAGACATCTTTACAAAGTAAGAGAGAAGGGGAGAGAAAGAAGGGGGGAGGGAGAGAAAATATGTGTACGTGCGCGTATCATCGTGTCACACGTTACACGCGTAGCAAGCAGCTGATCCTGCTGATCGGAACTGAGCGCCCGCGTCGGACGG